ACTGTGATAGGCGGCGGAGCAGTGTGGGAGGAAAGACACCGGCCGCTCACAGCGCTCGTCCCGCAGCGCTCGGCCGGCTGTCATTTTCTCTCTGATTCCTTTCATCCCTGCTGGGCACTGCTCTGTGTCCCAGCGGGGATGAAAGGAAAAACGGCAGGAAAATGTCACTTTCGGCATTTAGCCGAAAGTGCCATTTTCGGCCGGCGCCCCCCCCTTCACCTTTCGCCCGGGGCCCGCGCCCCTGCTGCCCCACCGGTTGTTGCGCCACTGATGCATCATGGTAACAAAAACTTCAGTCTGGCAAATTTCCACATAAATTTTGCCAGGACAGCAAATTTCAAACCTGCTAGATCAACCGCAGACAAAGGGTAGTACCTCATGTATCATTTCCCCCTCCTCTTTTAGATTGTAAGCCCTCAGGGGCAGGGCCCTCCTTACCATTTTGTCTTGAATTGTATTGTAACTGTAATGTCTTCCTTATATTGTAAAGCGCTGCACAAACTGTTGGCGCTATATAAATACTATGTAATAATATGAATAATAATATGAATAATAGGAATCAGTGTGGTTACCTATGAAACCTGTGCTAAGGTAACAAATTGCAATGGGATCATAACAGACCACTATAAGTAAACATTGTTGTAGAAATTAGGATGATGTGCAGCAACAAAGGTTTGTCATTTAAAGAAGAACTTTGCACAAATATGGCTTACCCTTTCTGTGGGGCTACCCCCACACTGAAAGGGTTAAGTGCTCGTTTTGTCTTGGGGCCTAAAATAAAGCTGTTTTACTTATCTAATTCTGGCTCCCACCGGTGGTCAGTGCTTGCCTCTCTCCCCCTCCACTTTTGGCTATGGAATGTACCTTGGCACCCTCACGTCTAATGCAAGTCAATGGATCTGCATAAGATGTGATGATATCAGTGGTTCTTAGACCACCAGAGCCCAAGGGAGAAGAGGCTGCCGGGGCCAGTCTAGCAGCCCAGAGGAAGCTAGGATCAGGTAGTAAATCTGCTTTATTCCAGCCCCTAGACCAAAATGAGAACGTTTAACTCTTGACATGAAGAGATTCTTCCTTTGCCTTGAGTAATCTACCTTTTGAATTTACAGAGAACATTAGGCGGTGAGCTCCTATAGGGGCAGAGACTTATGTGACGGGTTCTATGTACTCAGACATTTGTTGATTCCATATAAAAAATAAGAATAATTACAATTACTATTATTATCATTATTTGGTCCCTCTGATTAGATTAGAGCATATGTCTCTATTGTATTTCTATCATAAGCTGTTCCCCCCAGAAAGCTACATTTATAACTTTGTAGGGAGTTAGCTTTACCACCTTAACTCCGCACTGCAAGGGTTAAGTGCTCGTTTTGTCTAGGGGTGAAAATAAAGAATAAATACTCACCCGATCCTGAGTCCTGCCTGGCTGCTAGACTGGTCCATGCAGCCTCTTCTCCCCCAGGCTCTGGTGCTCTAAGGACGTAGGACGTCATCATGTCTAATGCAGTCCATTAGACGTGAAGATGTTGGAGGACATACGCCAGCCAGAGCAGAAGGGGAGAGAGGTGAGCAGTCACTGCTGCAGGACGGAGGACTGGGTGAGTATGTTTTTCTTTATTTTCACCCCATAAACAAAACGCGTGTTTAACTCTTCAAGTGCGGGGGTAGCCCCACTGCAGGAGTTATTTTTAAAAAGTCTTTTTTTTTTTTAAGCAACCAATCTTGTGCAAGAGAAATTAATAAATGAAAAAAGTGTGAGTTTTTGTAAGCAGAATTGGAATCTTTGTAGTGAATGCAGCTTCACCTTATATATTGAGCTGAGCATTCCCTTTACAAAGTAAAAATCTGCTTCTCCTATTGAGCTGAATGATCAGCCAATGCTACGGCTGGATCCTTCGGCTCCTTTGTGAATTACCCCTTAAAGCGACATTAAACCCTCAGATTTTATAACATAAAACAATACTGTAATGTGCGCCTTACTGTAATCCATGGTTGTTTCCCTTCTCTTTGCTGCTCTTCCTTTTAAATCCGTATCTGTTCTCATACTGGGCAGAACTTTTGTTTTGCAGCAGACTGCCTTGTCTCAGGAATGGATATATGGCGTCTGTGTGCAGGTTCACAACCTGAGCCAGCACTACAGGAAGAGACACTCAGCTGCAAAGGTAAGTTCTCCCCCAGCATGAGAAGAGATAAGGATTTAAAAGGAAGAGCAGCAAAGAGAAGGGAAACTACCATGGATTACAGTAAGGTGCACATTACAGTATTGTTTTATGGCTGTGAGGACCAGTCTAACAGCCAGGTGGGACCGAGGATCAGGTGAGTATATCTTCTATATTTATCTTCTATATTCCAGCCCCTAGACCAAAATGAGAAGTTAACCCTTGCAGGGTGGGAGTAGTCCCACTGCCAGAGTTAATATTGTTAATAGCTACACAGGGAAATTCATTACATTCTGCATGGATATTTGTACGAATTTTGTTAATGTCAGACATTTGAATGCATCTGAATCTCCAAATTCTAACGCGCCGGAATGCGAACAAATCCGAATGCTTATTTAACAAAAATTCAGGTCAGAATTATTCTCAAAATGAAACTAACTTGGACATGCGACTCTTCTCTGGCCAATCAGATTTGTTTAGTAGTTGGGAGTTGCATTACAGGCACGGTCATGTGATGTAATTCCAAAACGAAAATTCAGACAGATCCGAAATCCAAATAACGAACCAAATCAAATTTTGGATCCGAAATTTGAAATACGAAAAAATAAAAATCCGAATGGATGCAAACTAAATAAAAAATTTTTTTGCCGGTTTACATATCTATTATTTCCTGGAGTTCTTCTTGCTGGGAAGCTTATCCTTCTCTTTAAAAAAAAGGGGCTCCTTGTATTCCTTGACCATAACTTACCACTAACAAAGATCCTTTACCACCTGGCCAAATAGTCATGGTAATTATTATCAATATACATATGAGAAGCTTACAATGTGACTTTCTTCTCTCTTTCGGTCACTAGCATGGAATAAAACAAATCACAGGTGTGATATTAGAGAAGAGGAATGACAGACAAAGCTTCAGTGCCCCAGGCTGATCAGTTCTGCTCTGGTGCCTAGGGGGGCTGTACTCCTGAATAAACACAGATGCCTGCCTGGTATTTGCAGTTGATGTAGAATATTATGTCATAGCTGTGTTGTAATACATCTGAGGTTTGATTTATACTGATTACCAGCTGGTATTCTTAGCTGATACAGGTAAGGATATTTGGAGCTTTTTACCCCTTGCAATGGACTAGAAGCCATTAGGAGCTGCTCTGCAGGGGAGAAGACTTTGCATTAAATGGCATTTTTCAGTTCTCATCAGTAATAGATGCTTTTTGCTGCTGGTGTCATTTCCCTGTGCCTTCCCCTGTGCAAACACTGAGCCGGCACAAGCGGAGGGGATATGGAGTTCGGCAGCAGTACTACTCCGGGCACAGCTGTCAGAGGGGCTGCCTGGATCGAGCCACAGCATGACCAATGGCAGCATCTTTAGCGCACGGTGAATGACAACGATCGCTCTGCCTCGCAGTACTCAATGTAGCAGCTGGACTCAAGGATGGACTGAATGGATATTGTAAAGTCCTCATTGACGATGCATTGGTTAAAACGAGGCGGGGTGCTCTACCTACCCATCAAAGCCTCCTGCTCCTCTCATCAAGATGCTGCCTTTCTGGGGGTGGCACATTGGCACCGGGGAACGTGTGTTCTGGCAACAAAAGAGGTCCATCTCTAACTCCTCAACGAGTCTGGAAGACCTGCCCACTCCTACATGAAGAGCACAGCACCCCACTCCGGTCCTGTAAGCCCCCTTTGCATTGCACAGAGATGATGGAGGTGAACAGGACTTGCCTTGATTGCTGGACCCCTGGAGCAGCTGGCACAGAGCAAGAACTGGAGGATCATGCTTCTCCTGGGCTGACCACTGCTCTGGCTGCGGTGCTGATCTTCACCATCGTTGTGGACATCCTAGGCAATGTACTGGTTATTCTGTCAGTCCTCAGGAACAAAAAGCTCCAGAATGCTGGTGGGTACCAAACATGTTAAGATGTGGTAGTGGATGTTGACTTAATAATTGTGATAAACCTTCACAGATCAACCTGATACAGGTTTAGAAGTATTGATCAACTTTGATTGATGTGTGAATGTGCACACATTCATTTATTTCGTTTATCTATGTGGATAGAGAATGTCCTTTTTAGGGTTAATCACCAAAGAGAGGTGTTACCTCTCTGGTGCTGACCATCAGTGTTAAACAAACTTTAAATTATTTGTTTTCACCTCAATTAAATGTCACAGGATTAAAAGGGTTAATAGTCTCATTTAAGGGCCTCCAGTTTCATAATATATGATTTTAACTTTAACATGAAGTCTGCATTTTTTTAAACTTCTAAGATCTCTGTTCAGTATTCACTAGTAGAAGTGGATCAGTTGAAATGGACAGATTGGGAATTCACAACAACAACAACAAAAATCAGATAGAACACACATATTAGAAAGTGCTCTCATCTTGATTATAATAGGAGGAGATGTACAAGTCAGATCAGATCAGGATTCAACCAAGAACCAGACAGCATGAGCACCTTCCCTCATTTACATGTAAGTATTTTTAGTCACTTAGTAGCATGGCATTAACCTCTTGTGGATAACAATCTAGACTTTTTTTTATTTACATGTGTTGCAGATAAAGAATTTGCCAACATGAGTTTAATCCTAATTTACTAAGTGATCAAAAATCTTCCTGGTAGATGTGAAAAGGTGCTCCTACTCTATAAACTTATACTTGTCCACAACTTACCGCTATCGATTTTTGGATTGGGCAATTTATAGGGAACAATGATTGTGATCTAATTGAATATGATTTTTGTATTGTGTCACCTTCTTTTATTATCTAGATCAGCCTATTTCAATCTTTTCAGCACAAAGGAACCCTTAAAATAATTTTCAGGTCTCGGGGAACCATTGATAAAATCAATTAATCGGGTATCAGTTGGAAAAATGCCCCTAATATTGGTGGTTAATGGGAAGAATACCCCCCCCCCCCC